AAATCAGATACCTCCTCCAAACAGAAAAAAGGTCAGAGATGACGTGAACAGTGAGAGCAAGCCCCTCTCCTGACCGTATCATTAAGCAGCCCAGTTCTATAAGCAGCACCTCTCCTGTTTACCCTTGGCAAAAGAAACCCCAGCACCCACATAAACACCAGGACTTGGATGAAATCATGTCATCGCAGTGTACACACTGCACAGAGCACTTATGTATGTCCTGCGCAGTCAGCATTCAAAGTCACAGGGCATATATTTGAAGACAGAGCAACACATCCACAGCAAATAATTTATGTCTTCTGAAATGGTTAGTAAAACTTCTGGTGTAGAATAACTGATAGTGTGGTTTGAAATGCTTCCTTGCTTTGCGTACAAAACCTATAATGTTTTGCCAGTGGTTTGAGACCTCATTAATTCAAAACCTATGTGAGAAACCCACTGTATGCCAGTGATTTTAAAAGCAGTTTGATTGTTTTTCCTAATGAAAAGGATATTGGGGAAGTCTGTTTCTGCCTCAGAGTAAAAAATAAAAAAGGTATTGTGATAAGTTTAAAATGAGAAAGTCACATTGTGAGATATGAAGTTGCAATTGTAAGATATAAAGTCTCAATTGTGAGATATAAATTCATAATTGTGAGATAAAAGTCATACTTGTGGGATATAGATTCATAATTATGAGATATGAAGTAACATTTTGAGATATAAAATCACAATTTTGAGATTTAAAGTCACATTGAGATAAAGTCAAAATTATGAGATATGAAGTCACATTTTAAGTTATATATCACAATTGTGGGATTTAAAGTCACATTGAGATAAAGTCATAATTATGAGATATGAAGTCACATTTTGAGATATAAAATCACAATTTTGAGATTTAAAGTCACATTGAGATAAAGTCAAAATTATGAGATATGAAGTCACATTTTAAGATATAAATCACAATTGTGAGATTTAAAGTCACATCGAGATAAAGTCATAATTATGAGATAAGAAGTCACATTTTGAGATTAGGAGATTTGAAGTCACATTTTATGATTAGGAGATATGAAGTCACATTTTAAGATATAAAATCACAATTGTAAGATTTAAAGTCTCTTTGAGATAAAGTCATAATAATGAGATATAAATAGACATTGTAAGATATAGTCATAATTAGGAATTTTAAAGTCACAATTGTGAGATATGAAGTCATAGTTGTGAGATATAAAGACACAATTGTTAAGTATAGTCACAATCGTGAGATATAGATTCATAATTGAGAGATATGAAGTCACAACTGTGAAATATGAAGTCATACAGTCACACGGTGAGATATCAATTCAAAGTCACAAGAAAAAGTTAAGATTTAATTAGTTTAAATCTTTAGATTATGTAAATGTTTGCATTGCTGATTATTGTAAGAACATTACAGAAGAAGTAAGATATAATCAATGCATGAATTATGACAAAATATTGAATAACCATATCAAATCAAAAATCATATAAATCAAGTACATGAAAATGACCCACTGAGGCATCCAACTCAAACAAACCACTCTCTTTCGGTTTGCTTCACACTAGCTGACAAAAACGAACCCTCTGTCGTGATTTCAAGACACGGTGTGTATACTCCCAATTAAGCAAAATATACATTTTAATGAAATTTATAAATATTAAGATGAAAATAGTAGGCTCGGTTGTGTGCACTCTGCTCAGGTCAGCGACAGGAGGGCACAGAGGACTCGTGCCAAACGTTAGCATGCCGATTTTAGCCATTGCGGAAAATTTTGCTCAGGTTCTTCGAGGACATACAGTGGGGGTACAGGGGAGTGGGCAGAAAGCTCTTTGCTTTACGACTGCTGTGTGAACATAGGGAAACCTTGCACAACCACTACATTGGCACAACCTCAGTATGTGTGGGATCTTGACAAATACACCTTAGAACACAGCCAATATCGCAACCGGGAGGGTGAAATGCAAAAGATTTAGGGTACTGAGAAATGGGAGATTCGGCAAAGGATGTGTGTGTTGTGGCTTAAAAGGCAAAAAAAAGACAAACCTCTAAGGTGAATGATATTTCAGCATATCAGCAAGTGGTGTGACCTCAGTTTGAAATATTTTCAGAAGAATTCCCTCTTTGTGTATAAATGAGAAAACTATGTAATCATAAAGACCCTTTCTTAACACCCATAAGAAAGGACATCAACATCTGCAACCAGCATTTTGGAATCATAACATATCTAAGGTCAAGTTACAACCGTTTTCCTGTAATTCTGTCCCATACAAGCCCATGCACAATGTCTTATTTTCAGAAATACACGTACATGTATAGAATGAAAACATCTGGACCCAGATATGACACTTCTGTGGGCTGTGAGCTGGATATTTATATAAGCATGGTTAAAAATATTCCATTATCATTATACAAACCAGCAATGCAAAGAAAAGCAAGTTCCTGCTGTAAGTATGTTAGAATAATACTCATTAAAATCTGCTGTGGCTGTGAGCTCGCACATGGCCTCTGCAAGCCCTTATGTGAAGGTACTTATTGTCGACCGCATGCACATCATATACGTCCACTCAAACGAGTGGCTTCTGAGGAATTCATATGAATGTGTGAGTCATTTCTAGAAAATGGCTTACAATGACCAGGCTGTGGATATCAAAAATGGATTGGTCGCAAATAAACATCCTCACTATTCAGTGCTGTGGTCTTCTCTCTCTGGACCACTGGATCACAAGTCTGTTCTGAAAGGATTGTGGGCAGCAGGGAAAATCCCACGCTAAATATGAATAATAAAATGCAGCTGCTCATAGTCACGCATAGTTAATATATAGTGCCTTCCATATCATACCCTAACCCTAAGGCTTGGATAAATGTGGTTTGTGAGAACCACAATGTGTTTTCTACTGTGATTTATTAGCTGCTGAGAGTATGACACAATTGAAATTACATTTTGTGCCATAAACAATTTCAGTACTCTTATCAGATAGTCAGCAGATGCCCACCTATAGCTAGCCATTTTTATGTATGAAGACACATTTAACTGTGAGAAACATATCACTGACATTATATAGACAACAATAGTTTTTGAAATATATAGTTCCTATACAATATTAGAGTAATGTAACAATGTGATGCAACATTTTCAATGCAATTTAAAATGTATTTTTGCAGCTCCGTTCACAATTTAAACTTCATGATGTTAAAAACTATGGCCATCAATAAAATAAAATAATCTTAATGAATCTCATGGTTTCTGACTAATATTTCAATTTCATTTAAATTGATATAAATTTAAAATTTAAAATAGTAGATATTTCAATGAATAACAATCAAATATTTCCTAAATAGGTCCTAAATTTATGGCAATGAACCACATTACTAGGAAAAATGTAACTATTATGGTATGCTCATAACACTTGGTGGCATACTGATCATAATTCATTTTGACCGCGATATGAACCACAGAGAATTTTCATTACAGTTTATAAGGATCCAGCCAATAGTCTGTTGGGTGCAAATATAAAATATAAAATACAGTCGCACTGTTTTCAGACATTGGATCTAAACCAAGAACACATGAGCATGTGAACCCTGTGTAGCTTCACACTCACTGCCCTCGATTCAAAGGTCCACAACGTATCTTGAGAGTATAGACATGTATTTCCTTGAGATGACATTTGGGACACTTGTCAACATGCAAATGTTGAGATAAAAGAACACCAGGCACAATAACACTGTGTTTTTGTATTTGCAGTGATGCATTTGCAGATTCAGTTCTCTTATTCTTATGCCACCTAGGTGTCTTGAGTACAGACATGTCCTTATCCCGTTCCACCTCCAACGTCTGCCACACTGGCCTGTGAATTTTGACAGAGCTCTGATGCATGCCTCTTCTCTCTGGAGACCATCATACACATCTGCTCTGGTTCCCCAGCCTTTCCTGGCAAGTTTCTCCACAACGCAGCTTCCATCTCCTGGTAACTGCGATCAAACAAACTGATAACTATTGTTCAGAAGGCTTGAATCAAAGTGTGGGTTCACAAAAGATGGGTAACTACTATAGTGTGTAAAATTTATTGCAATTTGTTTTACAAAATCTGACAAACAGAAACAAGGTGTTAGCTTATGCTATAGTTAGCATTTGTGACCCCACATGAGAGATATTTGACTGTGAATCTATTTTTTATGTTTTCAGTCACAAATATTTTTGTAGAAGTGTGCTATCAGCCATCACGACTTCATTCTACCATCAGACGTCCTCAATAACAGGGGGTTACTTGCTGTTCATCATTAGACAGTAGTGTGACCAAAGTACAATTCATTATTTCATGAGTAAAAGTTTCTAAGGGAAAATTTATTGAGTGCACATTTAGGTTTTTCAAAAACTCTGCATTTGATGGCTATATGAACAAGGAAGAAACATACTTGTGATTTTGTGATAAATTGCAAGGGGTTGTAAGCCTGAAGGCAATGATCTTGAGAGAGCCTGAGAGGGCAGACAGGAAATGAGAGAGGTCAAGGTGAGTGACAGAGAGCTCACTACTACCACTCAAGCACATCTGTGTCTGACATGGAGGAAATGCACTCCAGGAAGTGAGATTGAAATCATCAACACACACCAGCATACACACAATATCCTTCTTTGTCTGTGGTGCCTGTGCACCGCCAGCAGAATTGGAGTGTTTTCACATGAGGCACGCTGGGTTTTCATTCTTCAAGGTGCAGAGGCTCCGTCTGCACCTTCCAGAGTCTCAAATTTGAAATAACCTCACAGCTGTGTTTAGCCAACAATCACAGAAATTCAAATACATAATACATCAAAACTGGACATTGTGATGGAACCACATGAAATATTTCAATATGCTGCACTAAGATACACTCAAGATGTTCATAGTCACAGTCATGAGTCATGACACGATGGTATAGTAATATTTGTAACAGAGGAATTATGAGTATACATATCTTTATTTTAGATTGCATGAAAATAAATAACACAAAAATGTGTCCCCACTGCTCCTTTTGTGATACATTTTTCAAATTCTTCTAAAGCAATAATGATTTCCTGGCCTGCCAGGTTGTTACAGTATCAAATTCTGAACATATGCAGCTTAATATACTGTAAAGCGCAATACACTAATGAGCAGCTTCTGAACACTGATTTAAAAATATGCATACAAAAATATAAACTGTAATATAAGGCCTTTTCTACACATTCGAAATGTTCAGACATTAACACTTGTGTTTGCATGCACAATTGCCTATTTTGTTTGAAGGAATGCTTTATATCTTTATGTGCTTACAATAGCAAATATATACGTTTTATAAAAACATACAAGAATGAATGTAATGGATAAAATTCACTATATTTACAACACATATATACATGGCATTTACACACAGAGAAAACAAATCACGGAGACTTTGTTTTCTCAGGGCCAGATGGTGTCAAATTCAATGTCTTTTTTTCCTGTTGAGGAGATTTTTCGTGACAGCACTGGCCTAAAATCCAGCCCAGCAAGACCAGCAAACCAAATGTGTGGTAATTACTGGCTGTTATGTTACCAAGAGCTCTATTTCCTTGCATCTGTCCTTGGACGATGGTTTCAAATGACCGCAAACACTCGGAACGCTTTGCCTCCTGAGGGATTCTGTAGGCTAAATGGAAGAATAATGGCCAATATTAATCCAGAACCAGCAGGATAGAAAGATATAGGATTTAAATGCTAGTATGATTCATTAATCACCCTTCAGATACTCATGATACCCTCAAAATGCTATGTAATGAAGCAAAACAAAACCAGACTGCGTAGGTGGTCTGGTTTTATTTTGCAGAGGAGAAGCAGAGTTTATAAGATTAATGTTCAGCCACCCACTAAATAAAATGATTACGTTATCTAACCAAGCTCATATGGAGGGGTATTAGATAGTTTGTCTGAAGACCAGCTGAAGCCAAGAAGGAAAGACCAGCTATACAGCAGTAGCAGCTCAAAAGCTGACTCAACACACTCAGTACCTCTCTGAGGTGATGCCATTCTGGTAGGAGCCCTTGTACTGCTTCCTCTTGTCCACAGGCATTACGTCCAGATAACCTCCTGAGTCACTTCGAATCACCCCTGCGTGGATAGCTGCCCTGCATATACTGGAATTCTGCTCAGTGGGACAGAATAAGGAAAAATGGCTCATTTTCTACTGCAGTGGTAACAGAACAGTGACTTCCTAATAGCTGCAATAGAGCGACCCAGAGGAATATATTATTGTCCTTTTATAGCTTAGGAGTTTATGTTTAAGTATCATCTTTGTTTCAGATGATTCTCCTAAAGTTCATTAGGGGAACAAAAAGATAAATTTTTTGCATATAATAATAGTATATAGCTATAAAAAAATGTGGATAGTTTTAGTTAAATTAAGTTGAAGCAGAGAAAAATAATAAGCAAATCTTAGCAGTTTGAGATCTCTTTTGAAACTTTAGGGGAGGAACATGTGAAATTACTATGGTCTGTTTCTCAGAAGAAGAATCTGAGAAGCAGAAAACTTTGAAAAAAGTCTCTATTTGCTCTCCATTTCATCTCATTATAGGCTAGGAGAAACAACTGAGGTATTCAAGAGATCTCTTATAATATTTCCTGTGGGAATCAGTAATATTTGCACTGGATTTGGAAGCATTTCTTAATTTGAACCTATTTTAACTTGAGCATCATGTTTTTTTAACCATGTGTCATGTGTGAGATGATGGTCAAATGGTTCATCTAACACTTTTACATGAAAAAAATTATGTAAAATCAATGCAATGTAATGAAAAAAAAAGTTCTGTGTGAATGGACCCTTTAAGGGATAGTTCCCCAAAAAATGAAAATGACCCCTTGAAATACTCACCCTCAAGCCATCCTAGGTGTATATGACTTTCTGCTTTCAAACGAATACATTCAGAGTTATATTAAAACATGTCCTGGCTCTTCCAAGCTTTATAATGCCTTATAATGCTACGCCTATATCCTACGCCATCCGCTGGAATGCCACTCTCTCATGAACGCGTATATGACAGCTAGCAGAAGCTAGACATTACAGTTTAAAAAGTTTTAAATATGGATATTTTTCTTACACAAATGCATCGATTCGCTATTAACCCTGTGTTTAGCGCTTTTTATGATGGATGGGTGCACTTTATTGGACTTCTGTTGGACTATTGATATCAACAGCCATTCACTGCAATTATAAAGCTTGGAAGAGCCAGTACATTTTAAAATAAAACTCTGATTGTATTCGTCTGAGAAGAAAGTCACATACATATAATATACATATAATGGCTTGAGGGTGAGTAAATCATGGGCTAATTTTCATTTTTGGGTGAACTATCCCTTTAAATGGCATGAAGACTTACATCTGAATAATAGCGGGTTCCGATTACTCGGGCATAGCTGTCGTACAAGCAATTACGAGGACAATACAACCTAAAAAAAACACATCTTGTTAGCTGTTGTGCTATTAATGACTAAATTTATTGCATAGTATTTTGTGAAATCCATCAAGATTATTTTTGTCACAAAGTAAGCTTACCTGGGGCAGTGCCGGACTGGTTTCTTGAAAGGGCAGAATTGTGCCACCGTAGTATCACAATTAACTGCTTTCACTGGAAGTCATAAAACATTTATTAAATTTATATTCTGAAACTGAAAGTTTATCTCATTAAAAATAATCACATGTGCACTTACCTGGAACATTTGATACGGTGAAGGCATTGGCACTCTGATTTTTCCTGAAGAATAGCATGGAAAATGTGAGAACATTGTTGAACCCACATCCAGCAGCATGAAACGTATGGGTTCTGTGACTTACGCCAGAGTCTGAACTCCATTTTTGAAGGACATTGAGAATCGTTGCCTTCTGCCCACCCTTGTGACATCCAGCCAGCCTCCATCATCATCTATTATTCCAGCATGCAAGCCACTACCACAGATGCTGGATTGCTGGAAAAACAGCAACATTAATGAGAGAGACCCTGAGCTGACCACAATCTGTCCAAAGTTAGATATAGCATTTAAATATACGTAAATGGAAAAGTTTAGTAAATCTGTGCAACATGTAAATCTGTGCGATGCCACATTGATAAAAATAAAATGCAAAGCGAATGCATTTACCTACCATGTCATAATGACCCGATCCAATTACTTTTCCATAGCTGTACAAGCAGCCTGGTGGACATTCGTACCTGATTAAAGATTTACCAGACATGAAATGATTCATAGTAGAATGACCAAATCACATTTGTTTGTAGCTGATGTGCGAATTCACCCATTTTACCTGTTACAAGTAGTTCCTTTGCACTGATCACGTAATCTAGTATCACATGCTACTTGCTGAGCTGCAAAAAATAATAGTAGATGTCAATATATAAACACAGGAGTGCAGTTTTTTTCTGTTTTTTCTTTTCAGAATATAAGAGAACATACATTTAGTATCTATGCAAACATACTTTCTGATGGCACCCAGTAAAGACTTTACAGTCCTGTCCAGTTAAGTCAACCAATGAAATTTATCTTGAGTCAGCCAGTGAAGTTATCTTACACATCTGGGAAGTACTGATGACTTCGATCCTCTCAGTGTTCTCGTTGGGAGAAGGTGTCGGGGTCTCATCTCTGTAGTGAGTGTCGTGGTTTCGAACTGGCTCAGGTTCTGGTTCAATATAGTTATTTTCCTCTGTCTCAGGGGTGTAATGATAATGACTTCCATTATCTGAAGAGAGCACAATTTAATTACATTTTTCAAATGATTCAGGACCTACAGCCTTCACATGTTAGCTAAATGTTATAAGCAGTGTACTGTTCTGCACAGGGTTCTGATTATTTCAATACAGAGCAGCTTAATTTAAAATTGCATATGCGTAGTTTGCTGCCCTGTGCTAATCTGTTCCATATGTGCAGAGCTGGTACATTCCATTCCATCAGTCCTCAACAAATACTATTCCTCAGCCACCTTGATAACTCTGATCTTTTATCTTGCACAAGAAATCACCTGAAAATAGAAGATTCTTACTGTTTACAATGATGTTAATGCGAGCTGTATTAAATATGTTAAGTCGTCAACATGTACTTGAAATGTTTACCATAAATGTGAATGTAGTATTACTCTTTCAGGTGCATAAAATTGCAGCAAGCTTTCTGCATCTGAGCAGAAAATGCGGTAAGCAGTGTACTGTTCTGCACAGGGTTCTGATTATTTCAATACAGAGCAGCTTAATTTAAAATTACATATGCGTAGTTTGCTGCCCTGTGCTAATCTGTTCCATATGTGCAGAGCTGGTACATTCTATTCCATCAGTCCTCAACAAATACTATTCCTCAGCCACCTTGATAACTCTGATCTTTTATCTTGCACAAGAAATCACCTGAAAATAGAAGATTCTTACTGTTTACAATGATGTTAATGCGAGCTGTAATAAATATGTTAAGTCGTCAACATGTACTTGAAATGTTTACCATAAATGTGAATGTAGTATTGCTCTTTCAGGTGCATAAAATTGCAGCAAGCTTTCTGCATCTGAGCAGAAAATGCGTAGAGATGCAAAGCCCGCTGGTATTTTATGTGGCCTTTGAGACCCGTCTTGACATTGTTTATTTGTTGCGATGCCTAATTTGCTGTTACAGCGACCATCTGGGTGCATTCCAAGGGAGATATGCATCCTCTGTGACTCCCTCTACTTCCCTTTCAGAGTAATTACCCAGAGGACTGTGTGGCATGAAGGTAACTAATGTCTCCTCCCCCTACCTGCGCCCCACACAAAGACACATTCTGTTAGACTTTGCTGGGGGATACAGGGCTCTGGGATTTGACAGATTTAACACTGAATTGTTCAGAGTCCCAGAGCAACACAGATGTTATCAACTCAAAACTAATTGTCTAAGAAGAATGTTTTGAAACTCTTCTCTTACAGCTGATTGCAAGTGTCAGTCATATGAAATGATCCATGTGCAGTGCTGAGAAATGCATCATGTATTTTAGGAATAAATAAGAACTACTGTGTTGTACACTGGACCTAAGAGCTTAAATAAAAGGATGGTCTCTGTTGATTTAGAGCGTTATATTCTATTCTTCTTTGATGTCTGAGTCAATATTTGCCTTCATTGTTGCCAACTCCAATGCAGCGGGACGAAGCAGCAGCTATAGATGGTTCTAAGAAGTATCAGGTCATATTTGGCCAGAAAGCAATGAGAGGTCTGGCTGAGTGCCACGTACAGTAGGTGAGCCACAGAACGTGGGAAGGAGAAGCTGCATTTTGGCCTCCCTGATGGACCTGATGAACTGTTTGTTGTAGACCACAAACTTGACTGTAGCTCAGTGTGTTCTAGTGCATTTGTGCAAAGTGCGGTTATGGTGTGGTACCCAATACCGGTTGGCAGAGCCGTGTGATACATTTATAAGCACCCTCATGACCCCACCAATGTTTAAATAGCCTTTTAATTCACAATTCAATGGGAAAGTTGTACTTTAGCATGATTTTACAGGTTTTCACATTTTCAAATATATTTTACTGATTCTTTCTGTGCTTCATGCACATGTAAACTGATTTCAAGTAGGGATGCACAATATATTGGTTCCATGTCAGTTATCGATATCAGAGAATTTTTAATTTATTTGAAATATATTTTCAGATATTGCATATTTAATTTTACATTTCCATTATTTATTTATTTTGCATTTAGATTACTTGTGCCGTCATCTAACGCCTAATAAATAACATTACGAAATCTCAAAGTATTGTATTACATGTATTACATTTTCAAACTTTTTTTCTAATACTATGATGTTTAAATCTAGCATTGTTTTAGTCTTTTATTTTTTATTTATTTTGACAAATGTACAATTTTTATATTGGCCATGAGATATTAAAAAAAATGTAGTAGACAATTTCTTTTTATTCACTATTTGGCAGGTAAAACCAAGTCTGACCCTCGATTTTTGACATTGTGCAGAAAATATATTTTTGTTCATGGTTTGATCATAAGTTAGGAACATGATTCAGTAGAATTGTGACTAATCATCATGTGATCTTACCATGTACTCCATGTTTGAGGCAGGGGGGTACACTTGACCCCTCAGCTTATTATGTAGGTCAAGAATCAGTTGCATATCGCTCTGTGAAATTGCTCTTTTACCCCTTGACTTGGATTGCCACCATGTCTCATCCTTATCCATGTATTTTTCCAGGATGGCTTCTAAGTGGGTGGCATTGGGAATCACCATGGAAACCACAGTTTGGACAGTTACAAGCAGCACAAACCCACTAAATAAATCTTCATGTCCACACTTCATGTTTCCACAGCTGTCAGTAACAAAATCCAAAGTGGTATCTGTCCTCTGCCTGTAAAATCAAAATCATTTATATCAGATTCAAATAAATGTAATGCACACAAATGTATACTTATATACATTTTTATACAACTTTTTTACATAACGTAATACAACATGATGATTAGTGTGCATTTGCATGGGTGCTCAGAAATAGATAATTTCACACAAGCCTGACTGAAAAGTGCAGTTTCAGCATTTTTACAACTGAGCTGATTGTTTCTCACTTGTCAAAGACTTGTGTACGCCTTTTGCCACACACATGCAATATTTCATACGGTCGTGTCCTGAATTAAAACTGGCCACACAAGTCTTTGAAGTCTATAGCATCTAGTTATATGAGTAACTCTAATGCTACCTTTAAAGAAATTAATATGATCTTTACTAGACTTGGAATTATAACACTTGTAGTACTTTCAATTCATATGACATATTTTAAAATAAATGTTAAGGGTTATTTATAATGAAAGCATTTTAAGCAGCATTTTACCTTTTGCAGTTCCGCGCGTGGATGTTTATCTCCGGTGCCGATTTGCTGAAATAATTATTCGATGCTGTTTTTGTATTTCAAATACACGTGTCCACCTGTTTTGATCTGCTTGAGGTTTCTTTATGAATGAGTCATCATGAGTCATTGCGCGGCAAAATAATGTACTTTCAAATGTTTTAATTTGCGAGGCTGCTTTTCTCATTTATAGTGAACTTTTAAGCCACGCCCACAAGCACATCGACACACCCACCCACAGCACAGAAGCATATATATACCGGTGAAAATATACGCATAAATACTGGTGCAGTAGCCTGTGTTTCTGCTCTGTATATTTAGTCAAAGTCAACGAAGATTTATGCTATTTTTATTTGTGTGCGTGTGGTAGGTAGACCTCCTACAAAGATGGTAAAATCTTAATATTTATCATGGATTGCCAATATAAGTAAAAGCATCATGCACACAACAACATAAAATAAAGGAAACACATATGAAAAATTTTCTTGACCAAATAAAAATGCTGAACATACATTTAACATTATCATTACAAAAACCTTGGAGTGGTTTTTGGTACTGAAAATGCACGGACAGCTTCATTACCAAAAATAGCTTGAATGTTTTATGTCTAAGTACCTTGGAAAAACCCTGATGAAACAGATTTTTTTTTCAAATAAAGAAATACATGTGTATAAAAGTGGAATATAAACAGTTATATAGAGTGATCAGCACAGACTTGCTCTGAGCACCAGAAGAAAATATAATTAATCTATTCATGAGCATCAATATGATGGCTGATTCTAAAAGTCACTTTAAAGGGTTAGTTCACCCAAAAATGAAAATTCTGTCATTAATTACTCACCCTTGTGTTGTTCCAAACCCGTAAAACCGTCGTTCATCTTCGGAACACAATTTAAGATATTTTTGATGAAATCTGATGCGTGACGCGAGCGTGTGGCGGCGCTGACCCAGATCCGGCGTAATGACGTAAATATCTGGGTCAGCGCCGGCGCCGCCACACGCTCGCGTCGTGGTACTGTTGTGAACGCGCATCCAAAATGACGCAGTAGAGACGAAAATGTGGAATAAAGTCGTTATTTTTGTTTTCTTTGCGCAAAAAAGTATTCTCGTAGCTTCGTAACTTTACAGTTGAACCACTGATGTCACACGGACTACTTTGTCGATCATCTTGGTACTTTTCTGGACCTTGAACGTGGCAGTTACCTTGCTGTCTATGAGAGGGTCAGAGAGTCCTCATATTTCATCAAAAATATCTTAAATTGTGTTCGAAGATGAACGAAGGTCTTACGGGTTTCGAACAACAAGAGGGTGAGTAATTAATGACAGAATTTTCATTTTTGTGTGCACTAACCCTTTCAGATTGTGTTAACATTAGCACCATTTCTGGAATCGACAGTATCACATACAAAAAAGCAGATATCTGCTGTACAAAATCAATATAGATTTAAAAGATCCGAGATGTAGATTAATTTATTTCTTCATCTGAACAGATTACATCACTTGCTCACCAATGGATCCTCTGTAGTGAATGGGTGCCGTCAGAATGAGAGTACAAACAGCTGATATAAACATCACAATAATCCACAAGTAATGCACATGACTGAAGTCCATCAGTTAACATCTTGGAAAGTGAAAAGCTGCATGTTTGTTAGAAACAAATCCATTATTAAGGCTTTTAACTTTAAAATGGGGTTTCTAGCAAAAAATACCGATAATCCATAATAACGCTTCCTTAAGTAAAAAAGTAATTCCCCTGTTGTCCTCTCATTCAAATTCCACTAACATATTTGTTTAGAACTGCTTTACACTATTTTTGCTTGTAAACAATGCTTGATCAGTGCGTATTTCATTTCTGATACAGACACAGATTCTGTTTTTTCACTGGAAAATGCAATATTTTGGATAGAGGACTCCTATTTTAACCAGAAGCAAGTCTTTTTAAAAATCTTGATGAATTTGTTTATTAAAAATCGCAGGTTTTCATGTCACAAGATGTTTTGATCCAGTGGAGACATGTGGATTACTTGTGGATTATCATGATGTTTTTATCAGCTGTTTGCACTCTCATTTTGATGGCACCCATTCACTACAGGGGATCCATTGGTAAGCAAGTGATGTAATGCTAAATTTCTCCAAATCTGTTCTGAGAAAGAAACAAACTAATCTAAATCTTGGATGGCCTGTTTTTTTTGTTTTTTTTTTGGCCGAACTATTCCTTTAAACATGTGACAGACATCTTATTTAAACCAGTACATGAAGTTTGAGTTGATGGCAGGAAAGCACATGTTGTTGCTGCATGAACCTCCGTAGCTTGGAGGACAGGCTGAGCATGGCACACCGACTCTGTAAGGTGCCTCACTAATCCAGTTGCCCCTGAAAAATAGGACTGTTTTAAAAATATACCACAAAGATGAGCATGCATAACACCTTAGTCATGTGCTGGCATTATCAGACTGAGAAGGGTACACTCTGTGCTCTTGTTGGGTGTAATATCTGGCTAGAGCTGCATTAACAGATAAAAACATGACTAACTTTGGAGAATAATTGCAGACCAAGTAAGTTGCCTCCCTCCACACAGCGCCCCACACAACCATATTGTAACAGGTTTGGATGGCACATCCAACTCTGTTTGATGACGCCCACACCATCTGTAACATTCAGAGAGCGTCAAACATTTTACTGTTTGCTTAATCTGAATTATGACTTGCAACCAAACTCACTTGTGTGTAATGTGTGCACATGGGTCCGTAACAGCGCATCGGGCAGCGAGGATTGCAGTCATGTGGGTATGGAAACACATAATCCCTGACCTCATCATACCAAGGTTTAACCAGCTGAAGAATGGAGCGGTAACTGGCAGGAGCAGAAACAATTTGGATGCAATTTAGAAAATGAGAGAGAAAAAACAAGAAGCATTATCCACTGGACAGCATCGAAAACATGAAATTCTGGTCTGGCCCATTGCCTTGAGTCTTCTTCATTGTTTGTAATTGGATAATGCTGCCAAAGTGACATTTCAAGCCATTAAATTAGCACAATTCTTCTTTATTCTAAGAATAATAAAGATCTGAGAGTTAGTTCTATCAATAGCAAACAACTGTTCACCTGCAAGACTTACTTGCCAGTTCGGACTGAGAGGTTTTGACCCAGATATCGAAGAAGGTAAGGAGGTCCATGTTCCCAAATACACATGGCTGCCCAAGCTTCTGCTGACCTGGCCAGGCCTTCATCCCAAACCTAAAACAATATAACAACAGAGTTAATTGTGTGGAGTAATAATTAAATATTATTTTACGATTTTTACTATGCAGGAAATCGTACCCATGCGTGTCAAGTAATAATATGGCATTTAATCATGCACACACACTCATATGTTATGTCCACATGAAATCAAGACAGTGTGATTGTAAAATTCTGTGTACAATAAATGAACAAGCATTTTATACCTTTTAAACTCAAAAGTAAATTTATCGTTGGGGTTAAATGGCTTGAGGCTATTATAATAGGCTTTTATAACATTTTACTATATCCAGCAGGAGGAGCTGTCGAATGATACAAATGCAGCACCGCAAATCAATCTAATACGCTTTTTATAGTTTTGCTATTGAGAGGTAAAATGCTGCATACTGTTTCTTTGGAAAGATGGAAAGATGAGAGGGATGAGTTGGTTGCTTACCATATACTCCATGTTGGCTGCAGGTGGGAAAACATTCGCTCGCACCTTGTTGTGATAGTCCAGAATAGCTATCATGTCACTTTGCGAAATGTACCGTTTTCGCCTTGATTTGGGCATGGATGCTAATCCGTCAGTCCCCATTTCCGATTTATTGACAGTGATATTGGTTGCGGTGAGCGTTTCAGTCGCATTTCTGATCATCCAAGCGCTCGCATCACTGGCTATGAGTAATAGCAGCAAGTCGGTCAAAAAGTTGATGCTCTTCATCCCTTGTTGGTAAATAATCAGTGATTATCTGCAAATAAAATAATACTCATGAATATTTACGTCTCAAAAATATATATTATTAAGACAAAGTTCGAAAAATATGATATTTGAAAGATTTAAAATGACATATTAAGTATATAAAAAGTTTATAAATGTGTATATGTTTTCTGCATCGACATCGTACCGTTGAAGTGTTCGTATCTGATTGAGTGTGCGGTGAAGCAGCAGCTCCGCGAGTCTCAGTTATCCTGATGGAGATCTCTCATCCTGTCCACTGCTGCCTCTGGCTTTTATACTGTGCTGCTGTGATCCAAGAGGCAAACGCAAGGTGCCATAAATGGTGCCTAAATGGTTCCATAAAAACCTTTAACATCTGAAGAACCTTTCTGTTTCACAAAAAGTTCTTTGTGGCGAAAGAAGGTTCTTCAGATTATAAAAAGGTAAGAAAGAGATGGTTCTTTAAAAAACCTTTGACTGATTGGTTCTTTGTGGAACCAAAAATGGTTCTTCTATGGCATCGCTGCATGTGAAGAACCTTTTAAGCAGCTTTATATTTAAGAGTGTATAATGGTTATTATGTTTAAAGACAAGCCTTTCTAGGGACTTGAGATGCAAATTAACATATGATGTATTCTCTGTGTGCAATGCATTTTCAATTTTTTGGCTGGAGTCATAGTTTTTTTGTACTGTCCCTAAATTAATTAGCAGTATCCAAACCTGTTGCTGTTGCAACCCTAATTAAACACCCCTGAACCAGCTAATCAAGGTCTTCAAGACTCACTAGAAACTTCTAAGCAAGTGTGCTGGAGCTGGTTGGAGCTAAACTCTGAAGGACATTCATCCCTCCAGGAGCAGGATTGGACACCCCTGAAATAAACCAATAATAATATGAGTGGATTATACATTGAGAGGATCTTATTGGATCTCCCTCTTAACAAGGCCCAGGACAATGTTTCTATTTAATACCCTCAATTATAGCCTTAATAAAATGGGCAAATGTTATTTCAAAACTTCTTTTTCAGTTTTGCAGAAAGGCACTTCAATAACGTGTCAATATCAACAAACTACTTCATATAATGTGTATACAACAAAAAGTGTATAAAGATTAAAAGTAATTGAAAACGGCATCATTTTAAATAGCATAGTATCTGGGCAAAGGTTAGAAAATGATGCATGCAAGAAACCAGACGAATAAGGTGAATGAATATCTGGAATCTTATGAATTTCCTTTCACCTGTGCACAGTATTTGATTTGTAATGGAGGAACCATTTGGGCTGTTTTTGAGTTTAAGTATACATTTTACACAGACTGAGCTTCACCAGTAGTAAAATGATACGAAAATGCAAGCTTTTGCATATTTTATGTATGTTGGCCTAGTATTATGCAGATTAAATTCAATATTACCTTATGAATTAATATTTGTTAATTTTACAATGCATATTCAAATTTAGTGGACAAGTACTGTTTAGCTACAACTAAAGAGAAGGAGAAATAAAAAAAGGTCTACTGCCAAACCATCCATAACCTTGCTGAGCATTTGTGTGCTCCACCCAATGATGTTCTTGCAAACTGGAAACTCATAGTCAAAGAATAACGACTTTATTACCCTGTGCCCTGTTTAGGAGGTAATATCGTCCCAGTGAATTGTCCAACTGACAACCCTGTAATCAGAGGACCAGTTCACTCAAGCCAATGGATTCTTGAAATAACTACTGTTTATATTCCTTAAAACATTATTTTCACAAACCTGCTTATATGACTTGTATTCTCCGAGTTCTCCAGCAATTAAAAGTACAAAATTACACATAGCTATGCTTGCTATGTGCATATGCATTGGACCTATTCATTTAATTTTCATTATTTTCCATGTCCTATATGGTCAATCACACATTCAAAACTACTTTATTAAATAAAAACCACTACAGTCAAAATACATTACAAAAAGAAGAAACAAATGACCGTGATTAATATATACAGGTGTGTGCGTGCATATGTGTAGATGCATTTTGGTCGAATGATTCATCAAGATTCATTCAATCTTGAAATGTAGAACTGAACATTTTTGTCTGGAAAAAACAATGACAAGACACATACTATTAAACTATTCTTTAGGGAGCCATGAAAATCTCAAACAGGAACATTGTGTTCATTCACCTTCTATCACATGCAGAACCAGACAGCATTTGTTCATTGCCATCACTAAACAGTCCATATAAAGTGACAGTTTTTTGTCTGGTCACTTTTTATTTTTTTTAATAAAGAACATTGTGAATAAAAAGCGTTTCAAACATACAGTTCAAAAGTTTGGGATCATGTGCAAATGTTTTTGAAATAAGTCTTTACTATGACTGCATTTATTTGCATTTTATTTATTCAGAAATACCATAAAAGTGTAATATTGTGAAATACTTTTCAATTTTTATATATTTTAAAATGGAATTTATTCCTGTGATGGCAAAGCTGAAATCTCAGTAGCCATTACTTCTTCATTGTCCCACGATCCTTCAGATATCCTTTAATATGCTGATCTGGTGCTCAAGAAACATTGCTTACTGTCAGTGTTAAAAACAGTTGTGCTGCTTGATATTTCTGTGTAAACCGTAATGCATTTTCAGGATTCTTTGATGGATAGAATGTTCAAAAGAACAGCATTTATTTGAAATACAATTCTTTTATAACATTATAAACGTATTGACTGTCACTTTTGATCAACTGAATTCATCCTTGCAGAATAAAAATATTCATTTCTTAAAATAAATAAATACTTTAAACAAATAAAATCTTACTGACCCCAAACCTTTGAATGGTAGTGTTCATTTCACAAGTTACAATGACCCTACAAGCAGTTTGGAAAATAAATGGTGGATGAAAAAGAGATATTTTGTGACCCAAACAAAAATCAATTTGCATCACAAAATGGAGTACATATTTCTTCTGTAAAAACATCTGTCACCTGATCGAATAACTTGTGGGATAAATGCTAATAATAAGAACAGAAGTTTGTCGCACACATATATCTGAGGTATTAGTCAGACAGAAAGAAAGACCAACAGATCATTTGAACCGGTCATGGTTATCAAAGACAAATTTACAACTTCATTTGTTAAGAAATATGTCTCATTGTAATACAACTGCGACAGGGTGATGTGTTCCTTGACAAAAATCAAAGATCATCCAAAATACATTTATTCTTTAGAGAGCTTTGTTGCGTAAGTTAGGGTGGCCGTTTGTTAATGTTACAAATGATTTGTGAAATAATGCAACATTCCACCAATTGTTGTTTGATCTCAAATCAATTTTGTTGAAATGTGTTTAGCAAAAATACAATATTTAGTCATCTTTAACAGGACTTATTAAACTAAAGTTCAGCTGAACATTCTCTTTCACATTAAAATGTATTAATTAAAAATAAAATGTAATCAAATTTTAAAGTCTGTACATCATTAATGATTTATTAAATGGATTTGCAATCAAAACCAATACATCAATATGGTACAGCACATGCTATCATTGGCCTAAAACACAAGACTATTTCATGCAATATGTAATGGTGCAATGGGTTCTTGCACTCAAAACCTGAACTGTCTGTCCAGGGGAGCTGTCACTGCAGTACATGTAATGTAAAAGGTTTGGAAAAAAGAACTATGACAGTCCTGACAGCTTGTAATGAAAAACATTTAACTAAAAAAACATTTGTCAACATGCACTCAAAGAGTGTGTCGGCCATGGCAAGCAATCTTGTGTGTCTGATATTTGCTTAATCAAATACATCTCCATATTCTCTGAATAGTCTTCTGTTGCAGAATTTCAAAACATCTCTGACATCATTTCTTGCCTCATTGTTTACTTGCTAACAATTGGGCTCAGATTAGACTCAAGGATGACAGAGAAACTAGCTTAACAATTCTAGTAACAATCCTAGTGAATCCTTGCTTTCATGTTATTGACATATAAGATTGTGTCAGAGTAGGGAGGGGAAAACAGCCATTCTCCCCTGAAGGAAACTTCAAGCACAACAACCCTCTCAGTACTCCATAAAGCACTGGACTATGGAAAAAAAGTGATTGAAGACCTTGCTTACTATCATGAGTTACTGTCAGGAGTCACAATTTTCTTGAACACAAAGAAAGCAAACCTCTAATGCACTCACTTAAAGTGCTACACTGTTTATAGGAAGATCATATCATCATTGTAATGTAATATACACTTTTTGGCTATTTATTAATGTGTGAGATTTATGAGCACTGTAATAAAAACAACTGTATTTCAAATGAAGCACATTAATGTCTATAACTAGAGTTAAAGCTCATGAAGCACTGTTGGCAGATCACCAAAATACATCCTCTGGAGTCTCTATGCCGAAAAATTCATTAACACTAATATATTTCCTTTAAAGGGGTCATTTGATGTTGCTAAAAAGAACATTATTTTGTCCGTTTGGTTTAATGAAATGTGTTTATGCGGTTTAAGGTTCAAAAAACACATTATTTTCCACATACTGTACATTATTGTTTCTCCTCTACGCCCCGCCTTTCTGAAACGCGTCGATTTTTACAAAGCTCATCGGTCTGAATAGGTGGTATAGCTCTGATTGGCCAGCTATCCAGTGCTTTGGGATTGTCTGAATACCTCAAGCGTGTGGCGGAAATGTTACACCCCTACCATATTGCGACGAAACAAAAACATTAAAACCCATTATAAACGAGGCACTTGTTGCATCCAGTGGTGACATAATTACGGATTATAATGACTTATACTGTCTTTTTACGCATTGCATGGATTGCGCCGCGTAAACATAAAACCATGTCTGCATTTGTGATCGGAGAAATGACAAACAAGCGCTACTCTACACTGCTCAAAACTCACGTTGGAATCGTCAGTGGCAAATTCTTTAATATAAAAAACGTACTTACAGTCTGTGAGTCAGAACAGCCAGCATTGTAGTCTACTCTACCAGGATCAGGAAACAGTCCTCCATAAAATGCACT